TGGCATGTATATTCCAAGGTTTCCAATTAAATCACTGTTCACCAAAACTGGGGTCCACTGAAAGGGATGAAAATATTTTCTGACAAACATTTCCAGTTGAATCAATGCTGAACAAAAAAACCCACCCCACGACAACAACCAAAAAGGCAATCCAGAAGAAATCCCAGATTGCTTCGGTATTAAATTCCTAAACATTTAAGTAAGGAATGTAAAACCATCTCTACACTCATCCAGGTACAGTTTATTCTTCCCTCTTTAACAGACATGAGTAGCAGTAAAAGAACCATTAGGAGGATTTACTAGACATGGTAGAGAGTAAAGTTTGTCTTGTACCTAGGATACCCTTGCTTTTATTGGTGCACTAATGCATTGACAGGTTGTAGAGCTTCCTCATAGACATGGCTTTGAAGGCGGCTGCGTGAAGGAGGAGCCCTTCTGTTTTTTTTTTTTTTGTTGTTGTTTTATTGTCCTTCCAAGTGATCAGTGAAACACAGGCTGAGGTTTTACAGTATCAGGCAGGTGTGTGTACCTAACTGTGACTGCCGTGTGTGTGAAAGTGCCCTAGGATTTTGTGTTTCGATGTACTGCCTTTTTTTGGAGTTTACCATCATCCACAGCAAACTGTGGGATGCAGTGTCTGCTCGTTACCACTACCTTGGGTACATGACAGTCAGCCCCAACCAGACTCTGCTTGTCTTTCAAGAAGCCTAAAAACAAAATAAATGACAGAAAGAAAGAAAAAACATTTGTAAGGCAACACAAATGTTTCCATGTACAAACTTGTGGTGCGTGTGACTGTAAGTGCATCATCGTTAATGTGAAGAGCTTGAACATGAAGTGAATGGTTGTGAGACTCTGCATCTACTGTTACACTCTTTCTTGTTGACAGCAGCTGCTTGCTATGCTTGATTGGAAGCCATTTGTTATTAAATTTTAAAATGTGATGATCAGACTTTCTCTTTTCTACAGAGCGTGAGCAAAGTCTGGATCAGGATTGGCTGTCATGTCTGCCATAAAAAGGCACTAGAGAGACTTCAGCAAGTATTGTCCCCGACCCTCAGTCTTGCTAGCAACATTTCTATTTAGATGTTTTTTTCCACTGTTTTTCCCCCTGAAAGTCTCAGACATGTTATACATACTCTGAAAGCATCCAAACAGGGCACATTCCATCAAATTCATTCAGAGAAACCACTGCTTTCAGGAAGACAAATTTTCTGCCAGAGCCCCTCTCCAACCAGGTGGTGGGCAGAGCAGCAGCACCCAGTTCAGGAGAGAGCTTGGGGTGAAGGAAGCATTAAGTATATACTAATGCTCTTTGCTGCAGTCAGGGCCCTCAGAAAGGTGAACACTGAAATAATCAGGGGACCGATCAAAAGAGATGCTGGGCCTGATTGGTTCAGCTGGGAGCAGAGTGCACTCAGCACCTCCCAGAAACAAAATCGAAGCACACTGCATAATTAATAGGCCAGGGAATCTTGAGCTTAATTGAACTGAATGTATTTTGCTGCTTTTCCACAAATAATATTTTGGTAGGGGAAATCACAGGAGGTTTGGCATCTCACCCCACAGATTCAACATACAGGGCTTCTCCGCCTACACGCTTGTGCTGCCATATGGCTGCACATGGTGGCAGATTTTGTGGCTGCTTGTTAGGATCTCTGCAAGGTAGCTGGCTATTATGCAGTATGTGTCTGTATACATTGGAGCTAGGTCCTATCATCAGGGCTCAAGTGTAGAATTTGCATGTGTGTAGCTGCATAAGTTTTTTAAAAAATTAAACCTTCAGGATAACCTGGATCAGCTCTCCTAGAAGCCAGCCTTTGCAGGTCAACCCCAGCTTAGAAGTAAACACACACTTTTCCTGAAAGCAGCAAAAATGAAAAGATTTCATGGTATAGAAAAAAAAAAAAAAAAAGAAAAAAAAAAAAAAACTTATCTGAAAAGCAAGGAAAGTACAGCAGACCACAAACGTAAACCCAGATCAAGCTACAGCTTTAGAAATGTGTATATTTGGCCTCAAATTTTAAGTGAGAGCTTTTGCTTTCGGACTGCTGGCCTAATTTGAAATCCGTGCAGCACCAGGGCTGCACAGGCAGAGCATCTGCTCTTGCAGCTTGGCAATTCTGTCAGCCTACTGAAACCCTAGGGCTATGCTCAGGCATTGACCTTTAAGAGACATGTCTACTTGTTTACAAAGCTGAGTTAAATCTGTTTTCTAGATGTTTGGAAAGTTGTTACACTTTCAGTCTTTGCCCCAGAAGTCACATTCAGAGTTTTAGCAAAGTCTGAAAATATTCTCTGTGACCTGCTTAAATTTCTTACAGAAATCATCTAATAGTTTTGGAGAGATAACATACTACCAGCATGTTTTTCCAGTAATAGAAGTGTTTGTTACATCAAACACTGGAGTAATTTCTTAAGTCCATTCTTCATCAACAAAATTATGCCAACATTTAACTTTGATGTCAAAAGTATTCATACGGATATCTAAGTAAACCACATCCTAAATTCCACCATAATAAGCTAAATTAGGAAAAAAAAAAAAAAAAAAAAAAAAAGCATAAAACTTGAGAATGTTTGGACATCTGAGTACCTATGTTGCTTACATTCTGTATGAGATGCTAAGAAGCATTTAAGTGCACTTAACACCCAATCTGCGAACATGCTCTTCTGTGAGATTTTTATGACTATGGCAGATCATTTTGGTACTTGTTGGTGTGACATGCAGGCAGATCTGCTAAAACCTTTTCAGCCATAATTAGTGTTAAGTTCAGTGTCCAAAACTTTGCATTGTCCTGTACATCCACAGGGTAGTTCCATTCACCCTCTGAGTTTTAAAATGTAAGTCACGTGTTTGTAGCAAGACATATTCTACATTTTGAGCTCAGGTTCACACAGGTTTATGAATTCACTGGAACCATATTGATTGCCCTGTTTCTATTTAGGTATGTGGATAGGAGGAACACCAGACATCTTTCTCTTGTAAAGCATTTTTCCTAGACAGCTTAAAAGTGGAACAGCTTTCTGCTAAAGACATCACATTGAAAATATCAATTGCAGTATACTGGCAAAGAGGAATTCAGAAAGCAGATAAAAAATACTAGTACAGCTTGTTAGGGATGTAAGAGGTTAATGGCCCATTGCACATTAGCTCAGAGAGGTAATGGGGTTTAGACCCAAGGATAATTCCATTTGTCGTGTATCATGGCATACATCCCCTTCACAGTGTGTTATCATTATAAATGTTAGATGTGCATCTGTGAGATTACTGTTTAAATCATTTTATTGTATTATGGCTCATAAAAGCATTCTGTGCCTAGAAATAGTCTTTCGTATCAGGAAAGGTATCTCTAAGCATCATTTTAATATGATTGTTTTGATAATATTGTAACAGGATCAGAGCTGATGCCCAAAGCTCTTTCTACCAGAATAGTTGGAGGAATATGGTGGTTTTTCACCTTAATCATAATCTCATCTTATACTGCCAACCTGGCTGCCTTCCTGACAGTAGAGAGGATGGAATCCCCCATCGATTCAGCTGACGATCTGGCAAAGCAAACCAAGATAGAGTACGGGGCTGTTAGAGATGGATCCACGATGACCTTCTTCAAGGTAAGATGACATCAGCCAGCTCTGAGTGGTCAGACCAACTTGTGAACAATTAGTGGCCTTTGCTCTGAGGGGCAAACCCATGCCTCTGATGGGAGAATATGAAGGGGACCAGGGCACAGTTATCCCCCCAACTGTTTCTCAAGGCAGGACCTCAGCTTCTTACAAGCACCTGGCTAAGATCAATTCCGCAGGCCACATACATGTATGCACTAGAAAAATACTGCAGGTAGTCAAAATGCAAGTTGGTTTGTCCCTTTCTTAAAATGGTTCATGGTCAACACATATAATATTAATATACAGGCCACGTATGCACATAAACACATCGTGAGTAAAAGGTCATTTTCTGTGGCTAATTGCTTTATAGATAAATGCTTTTTCTTTTCTTTCTTTTTTTTTTTTTTCTCACTATGAGTATTAATTACATACAAAATGGGTTAATCTCATAAAATGTCAACGTAAAAGCCAACAAGCTATAAATATAGGATATATGCACAAAAATCCTGTGACAATTAGAATTAATTAGCAGCTTCATCGGTAGTCTCAGCAGGGAAGTTAAGCACTGACTGAATTGGTATAATGTTTTTCACTGTAACATCTCATAGTGATGTTTATAGACAGTCAAATATGTGGTACCTTTGAGGATGAGACACCCCGGTGAAGAAACATGTGGGACAAAATAACACTCACGTCTGCATGAGAAGCCTCAGCCCCTGAGCTGAGAGCCTTCTCCCCTGGTGTTCCTGCCTGTATCTCCCTGCCTTGCTTTAACTGCACCCCCTCATGTTTCCACGTGAGGAAAAGTGAGTATTTCCACATGCATAAAAGGGATCTTGGCTACAGTATTTGGGTCATCTCTCAAAACTAGCAGTGTTCACCAAGGTCATTTCAATTATGTAGTAGAGCTGATGGTAGGCTATCCCTGATGGAGCTGTCAGGGGTGAACTCCTCCTCTAATGGCTCTCTGTGCTGAGCAGAAATGTTCTGTTCTGAAAGAAATGCACAAAATACAGTACTTTTCAGAGCCTCATTAGAGTCGGTTCTTGAAAGGATGAGCTGACATTTCTGTTAAGAAATGCTGGGAAACCCATCTTGAGATATTCCTGGAAAATACATAAGGCAAGGACAAAACCCCAGTAAAGAATGCAAGGCAGCAGGAAGCAGCCTGAGGAGTGCTCTAGGACATTCCCTTGGTCTAAGAGCTCCTCACTGCCCAAAGACACCCAACATCATTGCTATTCTGAAGTCAGATTCAGCACCAGAGTGAGAAATCTTCAAAACCTGTTGCTTCCATGATCTTTCAGTGGAAATAAATTGTAATTTCATTACAAGAAGTTCAAAACAAATTTCTAGAGCTTTTTCCAGTTCTACACTGTCGTGGGTTTTTTTTGTTGTTGGTTGGTTGGTTTTGTTTTTATTTCACAATTAATCCTTATGAGTAAAATTTGTAGGCTTAAAAGAATGCAAACCTCTTAAATTTAATAACATTTCAGACAAGGTGATTAAATATTTATAGACAATGCATGCTAACTTATTTGTGCCTGAAATATGTGTGTACGCAAACACAAGTGAAAGGACACTAGTTTTTTTTTACAGAATGGAGATGGATAAGCTAGCAAAATGAAGGTGACATAGTGAAAGATGCATGGAAAATACAGTTTAACACACTTGTAAACCAGTGACACACTTGTAAACACACGGTGCTATATAAAAACATTGTTATTTTTATTACAGAAGCCTTTCAAGACCCTCAAAATATTATGATTTCCTTACACTGGCCAAAACTTCAAAAATATCACAGTGTGGATATTTGTACAATAAATGCAAGAAATACTTAGGTATGCAACAGGAAGACTATGTGCCCTGCGAGGGCATGACTTTGCCTCACTTGCTTTGTAAAATAATGCACATACTTCTGGAGCTGAGCAAGCACACACACACTGCAGCGAGTGACCTGGGAAGATATAAATCCCAATATTCAGAATGAGGAAATGGCAGGAGTAAGGGTTTCTGTGGGAAAGGGAAATGGAAAGGGAAAGAAGAAGCAGTGACACCAGGTTAATGGCAGCAAAGATGTCCCATAGAATTGGAGTGCTTCCTATATTCCAAGTCTTGACTCATCCCGGAGCTTCACCTAGTACTTAAGGCATGCCAAGGGAAACAACAGACCCCCTCAGAACAACACTTTTTTTTAAAGGAAAAACAATACATGCTGTCAGTGCCTCACCACAGAAGAAAGGACACAGTGCCTGACATGTGGTACATGATCAGGTGGGGCTGATTTTCAAGTCTGCACGTGACACACACAGAAAAGGGTTTTCTGAAAGCATCAAGTGATCCAGGCACAAAGTAAACTCTAAAGAACTTTGGTCTAAGACTTTCTGCTTCAAGTAGCAGAGGCAAGCCCCCGCAGTGTGGCTTTACACAAGGTGTTTATTGGATGGGATGCAGGTTAGCAACCATGTGAGAAAAGAAAAGTATTTCCATGGCCTTTCTGAAAACTCAGCTTGTGTTTATGCCAATTCACATGGCTCTTTTTATTTAGTCTTGCTTATAATGCAGATACAAACAGTTGTGGTTTTCCACTAATTCTAGATGCCTTACACTGTTGTGAATAGTCTCTCCAGACAACTTCTTTCTAGAGTGGCTAAAATTTCAAGAAAGTTTCTGCAGTGGCTATGCCTTCTAACCAGGTAGTAGTAGGAATGAAAACAAAACCATCTGAAGTTACTTCTGGAAGACAAGAGTCCTGGCTTTGAAGGAGCCCTGGAGTCAGCTTCCTCCCTGTGTGCAAATCTTGGAGCCACTGGTCTGACAAACCTGACTGTAGCAGAGGAAAGTACCCTGAAAACAGGGCATGGAGAACTAAGGAGCACCCTGGTGAGGTGATGGGGCTCCAGGCAGACAAAGCAGTGAGAGCTCAGACAGCATTCTCCATGTGTGTGAATGTCCAAATTTAGTCAAAATCTAAATGGAGGCAAGATGTTTCACACCTGCAAATCATGACAAGAACATATTTCTCCAGAGTGTTGTCCTGCTCTGTTTCCAACACATCTATATATCTTCCATTGCTTTCTTGCCCCTCTGTGATAATAGATCTTAATCTGACATTGCAAGTCTTGCCAGCTCCTACCTGCTGATATGCAGGCATGTTTCCATTGAAATCAATGAGAATCCAAAGGCCAGAGTACAGCATATGATATATCCTGAAAAAAAATAAAAATGCAAGTTGGTAAGTTGAGAAGCTGAGATCTTTCTTTCAAACTCATCTGAATAAGGAATACATCTTTCCAGTAAATTCAACATTGGATTCAATCTACTGCATAAATGTATCATCAATTTCAAAAAGTGTTCCCAGCTGAGCAGTACAAATGGCTTCTTCTTGTAAAGAGCCACTTAACTATATTCAAAGTTTAGTGGTATCCAGTGGCTTAACAAACTTGGGTGAAATTTAGGTGAAATTCACAGGTATTGAATTCACAGGAAAAGCAAGTTAACATTTAAAGCTCAGAGAACCAGAAAATCAGCTTCTCACAGGAATCCCCTAGACACCTGTGTGTAATGAGCACTTAGGGTCTCCACACAGTGAGCCTAAAATCAGCTCTGATGGCTACAAACCAGATATAGGGCCCGTGAAGGAGGGGAAGGATATTCTGCCCTAGAAGTGGGAGAGTATAAGTGTGTAGGGACTTGTATGTACATCCCAAAGCTGTTTTGTGGGTGGCTGGCTTGTGCTAGGTTGTGGCACAGCATAGTTCAGCAACAGTTGGCTATGCCATCTTGAGACAAACTATCTGATGGTCCAACTGCCCGTAGGCCTAACGTGCTATTTCATCCAAAAGTGGCATTGTGTGCTCAGCGGTTTTGGACAGCACACAGGGGAAGAGGGAGGCTTAATCGTGTTAGCACTAGCTTGAAGGTTTTGGGGTTGTAAGTAGCACATCTTGAGGGCAGCAGGCACAGTGCCCCTGAGAAGTCCCTAAGCAGGTTCAGTTTGTCTTTCCACCCCCTCCAACAGCCCTTCCCTGCAGCACAGGGAGAGGAGTGGGGGAAGGGATGCCCAGCACTGCGTGTAGGTGGCTGGGGCTGCTGGCCTCCCTCTTCCCTCTGCAGCTGGGTATTGACACAGGCCACGTGCACGCTCCTTCTGAGGCCAGTGGCAAAAAATCTCCCTAAACTTCAGTGGGAGAAGGATTAGGACCTTAAGTCTGATTGCAATGAGAAGCTGAAAGCAGAAGTTTACTCAGAAGTCACTTTGGGTTTGTTTCTCAAGCTTTATCCTTGAAGTACATGATTTCTAAGCAAATGATATCAATACAAAAGAGCCAGTACTTTATTCATCATCAGGCTTTTGGAACAGTGCATTTGCCCTGACAGGCAGAAACGCTGCTTCTGAGTGCAACAGTATCCAGCTGCATTAATTTAGCTGGGCTATGTGTAGTCATTTGCTGTAATCCATGTAACAGCATTAGCCCAAAAAACTTCAAAGCACTTCACAGTTGTGCCAGTAATGAAGTTCCTGGCACTGCAAAGGAAGAAAAAAAAAAAAAAAAAAAAAAAAAAAGATTTCTCAGCATAAAACACAGCAAGAGAAAAAGGCTGTGGGAAGGAAAACCGTTCTACAAATTCCCTTTCATTCAAGATATGCTATTGGCATCATTCACAACCAAAGGCAGAGGAAAATTTTACAAGTGTAATTTGGGTGCTGGTATGATTCTACGTCCTCGTTTTCCCTCCTTAGAAATCCAAGATATCCACGTATGAGAAGATGTGGGCGTTCATGAGCAGCAGGCAGCAGACAGCGCTGGTGAAGAACAATGATGAGGGGATCCAGCGTGTGCTCACAACGGACTACGCACTGCTGATGGAGTCAACCAGCATCGAGTATGTGACCCAGAGGAACTGCAACCTCACCCAGATTGGGGGGCTTATCGACTCCAAAGGCTACGGTGTGGGAACCCCTATCGGTAAGATGCTTTCCAGCACAGGTGCTGTAGAGCACACCCAGGAATGTCCTATTCAGATGCATTGATAGCCATCTGAATGATGCCCTAGTGCCTTAGATAATTTTCTCAGCAAAAGAGACCCCGGGAGCTTCCTTTAAAGCAAAAGACCACCTCTTGGCTCCACTCACCTGCAAGCAGACTCTACAGGCAGGAGAGAACATAGATGTAGTAGTGCAGGCTACATCTGCAGAGCAAAATTAAGTAGCCTGCTTGCCTTCTGGAGCATCCCACGTGGAACAAACAGGGTGTTCCTGTGCTGCTCGATGTCCAAGTTGTTCTACTGAATTTCAGCTTACTTGGAGGAGTCAGGTAGTGTCTCTGTGAAAGTAGTAGTGGGCAGAATAAATGTTACATCCAACATACACATCTGCAAGAAAGCTACATGATAGGAGACTGATTTTTATTCCATTTTGTGACTCAGTGCATGAGTACAATGAAAAGCAATTGAAAGGTTCTGCATCTGCATCAGGGACTTCAGGGTTTCAAGCTAAGCAGAGATTTTCAGTCTCTGGGAACTCTTTCCAGCAGACCTTTTCTAACATATCCAGTGTCCTTTTCAATATTTTTCTAATCATAGAGAATTAGAAAGTGTCAGGTTTTTGGGTTTTGTGTATGTGTTTTTTTAATTTTGATTGTTTTTGTTTTTATTTTACTCTGGGTTCATGTGAGTAATGGTACTATGCAGACAGATCTTCTTCTTGTATGATATACCTCTCCAGACTGTTCATATATACATTTACCATGTCACACTCTGCTAATAGCTATGCAATTCTATTGGCTTCGGGGGAATTAACTATGTTATACAGGTATAACAGGTAAAGTATTTGGTCCATCAGTTGCTTGGCAGATCAGATATAAATAAGAGAGGAAAAACACCACTGCACTTTGACATGTGTTTCTTTATGTTGCTGGGCACCTCAGATTATCATACAGATAATATTTTAACTATATTCTTCCACACTGTCTGTGTGAGAACAGCCTTTCTCCCTGAGGAAAATAGTACAAAAGCTAAAATATCTCCAAATAAAGACAAATGCATGGCAAGAGTTTCATTGCAGATATAAAGCTGCCATACTTTAAACCAAGAACAATGACAGAATAATTGGAACAGATGGTAATCCTCAGAGAAAGTGCATCCATTGGAAATACAGCTGTGAAATATATTTATAAGATGTTTCTTGTATGATAAATGTGCCTTGATTTCTTTCTTAAGAAAAAACAGAAAAAAATCAGGGCAATAGATACCTACAAGCACTTTGGAATGATGCAGTATCATCAGGCATTTTAAAATTTTAAAAAGTTAAAGACAGACAAATAAAGACTAATGAAGCTGTGGAGACCTTTCTACTATTCACATAGACCCCAAAGCCTCTGTTATACTCTCATAGCATTCAAAAGTATTGCACTGCAGAATCTGTATGGAAAACAAGACTTGTCTTTGATCCTCAACACCAAAGTTTCAGCAAATCTGAATCTGCATTTGTTCCTTCAGGAGAATATACAACCATGTGGCTATGGTTTGCAGCAGCCAAAGTACACCTTACACTCTAAAATTTCTAGTGAATGAGCTGAATACTATCAACACTTGGTTCCCAAGGAAACAATTAATCCATGAATGCACAGGAAATTTCACCTCTTTAATCACAGCAACCTCTGCAAGTAAAAATAAATAAATAAACGTATGTATATATATATATATATATTCTGTCTTCCTTCTCCATTTTGCTGAGGTAGGATGATCAGGATTCAGGTGTAGCAACAAAAACCTCCATTTATATTTATTACTGAGCACATGGGTCACAGGGAGGAGGGTTTTCTTTAGATCCTTGGCAAAGAACATTACCAATGAAAAATCAGCAGTGATAGTTGATGGTAAGCTTGCTGCAGCCTAGAAGCATGGCTGTAACAGAGGCACCTCTAGGCAAAAGCTGTGCAAAATGTCACCCTGGGAGGAATCTGTCTGAAGAAACCAATGCTGTTATAGGTATCAGGACAGGTATTACTTCCAGCATCACTGCCAGTGCTGATGCAAGTAATTCTAACACTAAAGCTATTACCAGTTACTTGGGAGACTGCTAAGGAAGTAGATGGATGTATTTCCTGGCCTGTGAGGTAGGTTGTTAATAGCTCAATGGCCATAAATGATGTGCTGAATATTCAAAGAAGTGTTGAGATGGATTTGTGTGCAGTTTTAGTGCTCACCGATAAAACACCACCAATCCAGCACTTCAGGCATACTTGACAAACTTTAAAAGCACGCATAGAAATATAGATGTACCTGTTACCCTCAAGATGAATTGTGATAATCCCGCTGGCAACAAAAACATCACAAGGAAGAATGAACATCCCCACAAATCCTGTGCCGTGACTTAGGATGCTTCACTTTGCCTAACAGCTCTGTCCTTTCAGTCGAAGGAAAATAGATGAGTCCTACAATATAACAAACTCCAGCCGTCAGGGCGACAAACCACTCCTAAGGCAGAAACAATTCTGCTTTTCCTTCTGGGAGGCGTTCCTGTTTTCCATAGTAATAATTCACCTCTCTGTGTTAAAAACATTTTTGAAGGTGTTTCTGTTTCGTTTTCTGTTGTGCTTATTTTTGGTCCTTTAATGGCATGCATAGAAGTCATCCATTCTTACAGCCAGTATATTTTCCTTTCAAAGCTGGCTACCCAAAGCAGTGGCTGCTGAGTGCTGGCTTCCCAGATGGACTTTGTATAATCTGACACATGTCTCTTGGCATCTGTGGTCACAGCATGTCCTATTGTTGGCAGTAGGATACACTGAAAAATAGCTGAGTGTTGGCGCAACAACTGAGGAGCTGCCATGTTTTTCACACTGACTCTCCTCAGACAGTGCTGCAGGCTAGGGGAAATGGAAAGAGAGACAGAGGCTTGTATTCATGGTACAATTATTGTTAATAGTGTCCTGCACAACAGTGTAGGAAAGGTGAAGCTAAGCCCAAATTTCCAAGGCCGTTTAGATGCATGAAGACACAAAAGTGGTGCCTCATGAGATTTTCCACACTTTCCACAAATGTCCACATCTACTTCCACCCTGCTACCACTGAAATCCTGGCGCGCCTTCTGCCTTAAAGTTTGTTGATCGGATCAAGAATTGCAACTGCTTCAATTTGCACTTAAATTTGACTACTTGTGAAATTCCAGCTACAAGGAGTAGTCTTACTAATGTGCTAAAGGAGAGGAAAGAATGAATTGCAGTTAGGTACATGGATGAGAGATTGGCCGCATTGGCTGTATTTCAGCCCAGACACTAAAACATCGCAATTTCAGTGAATACAGCATGGCAGGGGTTGAATGCATATATATATGTACCCAAGATATAGATAGGTAGATAGATAGATAGATAATATATCTTTAGAACCAACTGCCTTTCTTGTAACCCTCTCCTGCTTGCTGTCATAATATACATAAACAACAGTCTTCCTCACAATGCCAAAACCAACTTTTGCTTATCTATTATAATTAATAAAGGATTGCTGCTATTATTGTTGATAACTTCAGTGACTGGCAGCACAGAAAAAGTTAATTGGTAGCAATTTCCCCTTAACTATGCTCTGCTGCAAAATCAGGTTGAGGGGAAAATCTCTCCCTTTTTCCCCCCTTTGGGGCTACAGACTTGTGCATCTGAAAGAGCTTCTGGCTGAAATGAATCACAGGCAACAGAGATTTTGGAAGCTGGACAGCCGGAACAGTGCATGAGAAGCAAACCTAAACAGATTGAACTGCCCAATGTGACCCTGCCATTTGCCAGATACTGTACAGAGACATTAATGCTGTTGAGCCTGAAGATGCATCATTTAGCAAGCTGTTGGCCTGAAAATAAAAAGCATTAAATAGTTGCTATTTTCAGCTTGCAATGCCAATATTGTTGCAAGTCACGGAAATAAAAGACCCAGCCAGTTTGTGTTCTTATAGGTTGAAGTGGAGTTGTGGGCATATGCAGGTATAAATGAGAAGAGAATATATTTGACTGACTGTGGGTTTTCTTAGACAGCTACTCATTTTACATGCAGTAGGAAAAATAAACAGATGTTGAAGTAAATAGAAGAGATGCAAAGTGGAAAGTCTCAAAGGATGCTCAAAGCAATATTCAAACATGATATAGAGGGATTATTTAGCAAGAAAACCCACTGCCAAGACTTGAATAAACCTCAGCAGGAGACCCTAGAAATTATCATGAATTCCCAAACAAACAACCACACCAAAGGAGCCTTCTGTTTTCCAGTCCCCGGGGCAGATACCAACACATAGTTCTCTTTCCCCTTCCAGCTGAAGAGAAACCAAGACCTTCTAGCTGGAATAATCAGTCTTGTGATAAGGAAGCTGTTTTGCTGCAAATAGATAACAGCAACATGCTTCCTCCCTGCCTTCCTCCCTTTGCTGCAACCAGCACTGACGGGTCTTGCTCTTACCTTGCAGGGTCTCCTTACAGGGACAAGATCACCATTGCCATCCTCCAGCTCCAGGAGGAGGGGAAGCTCCACATGATGAAGGAAAAGTGGTGGCGAGGCAATGGCTGCCCCGAGGAGGACAGCAAAGAAGCCAGTGCTCTCGGGGTGGAGAATATTGGGGGCATCTTCATAGTGCTCGCCGCAGGGCTTGTTCTTTCAGTGTTCGTAGCCATTGGTGAATTTATATATAAATCAAGGAAAAACAGTGATATTGAGCAGGTAAGTTGTCCATTTCCAGTTTGCTTATGTGTCTGTGAGGCTGGGGTTTGTAGATATGGAGGTGACTGCATTATGAGTCTCTTTGCTGGAGTGCAGATTTTGTATTGCTGGACTCTCACCATGTGTTTCTAGCACTGAAGACAACTAATTTATTATTAAGAATAGGGAAGTACCTCATCCACAGTCCAATTAGTGCTGCTTAGTATGGCAATGTAGAACAAGAGCAATTAATTTATCAAACAGTTTCTGCATGATCTTTAAGATTTCAAGTATAAATTATTTTGGAAAGGAATAAATGCAAGTGGGTTTATTTATTTATTTATTTTTTATTTTTTGGCATTAGCATCAGCCCTTTGAGTAACAACAGGAATGCACTTCCAAATCCCCAGTGTAATTTTCTTCTTGCTCTAGAAAGCATTTCTTTCACAGCCAGAGGTTTACACACTCTGTGCATACACTTCAAAGCAGGAAAACCTGCTGAAAGGTGATGAACGCCACAATAAGGTAAGATTATGGAGCCAAATAAAATGTGGATATAGCTCCACTGAAGTGTAACAAGCAATTTGAAAGGTCAGAGGGAAAACAAAGAAATTGTTGTATATAAATTGTGCTTTGAATAT